TTGGTGGGGGGAAGCTTCAACTGCCTCCTAGAAGCCAGGGTGTGTCTGAAACAGGCTAAAGCGGGTGAGTGACCTCTCCCACTCGAGGAGAAGGCATGAATCTGAGACCACAGCACAAGGGTGCAAGAAACATTACCTTTTAAGCCAATGTCATTTCCATTCCAAATCTCCATTCTGCTTGGTGGCGGACAATTTCGGTTCCCGCTGGATAGGTTTTCTCACCCCGGGGATCACATCCCCGTTCCGGGTGTGGCTCGTCAGTGCCGTAGCAGCCTGCAGGCTGGGCGCGCAGGTGGGCAGTGGAGAGCGGGGCCTCTGCCCCAGGTCCTCTGTCTACACCAGCATCTCAGGTCTGTACCTCCACGCTCCATGCTGGGCCACTGGGCCACGCAGGCTTGTGGCCGCACTCCCTCCCTAAGACAAGGCCTGTGCAGGCCTGACTCCTTCCTAACCACGTGGGCGCCTTGGGGAAGCTCCACTCCCTCCCACAGGGCTCCTGGGCCGAGGAAATCCTGTGGGGCTGGCAGGGGCCTCTCCAGCCAGGAGTACCAGGGGCCCCTTCTGCTCTGCTGCTCCCGCTCATGCCGGGACCCAGTTCCTAGTGGCATGGCAGAGAAGGGCAGAGGTGTCCTTTGTTCTTCATCCCCCAGCCCCTTTGGTTGTTCCCTCCTTCCTGTCCATCCTCCAGGAGGCCGTGCAGCGTGGGGCGGCGGGGGCAGCAGCAGTAGGACATTGTCGGGGACCCCACGTCAGAACCTTCTCATTTCCCTTCTGCCCTGTGGTCTCTGAGCCCGTCTGGGAACTCGATGTCATCTCAGGGTGAGGTCCATCGAATCTTTTATGTCTTCACTTTGGAGTCTCAAAACCTAAACATTTGGATCTTGAGTGCCCTGGTTCCACAGGGACAACCTTCCTGTGAGACAGGAAGGCCTCATGGCCCACAGCCACACGAGGAAGAGGCAGCATGCAACAGAGACACTAGAGAACGCATCGATGCATTGCCCCTGCACGGCACACGCACCCACACGCCTGGTGGCACAAAGACAGACTCATGCTGGGGAAGAGCTGTGCTCCATGAACATTCAGTTATGGGCTACAAAGCTTAGAATACTCTATTTTGTTGCAAGTTTAAACATGTAGGTATATCTCCTTGGCCCAGCTCAAAAGGTAGATGTTTTTTTTTCCCTTCTGCGAGTGCAGTTACTGGCAGTTTTAGCTTTCCACGAACGTTCGTCTGGAAAAGAAATGCAGCTTGTTGTGAGTAGTTAAGTTTATTCAACATATAAATCTCTTAAAACCCATGCACTTAAATGCTTGTGGTTGTGTGGGATATTATCAGTGTCAGGGATGGGCAGAGTTGAAGGCATTTTGGGTCAGTCTACTTTCTTTAAATCTTCTCCAAACATTTTAGGTTTGGCAAAACCTGAATTGCATTTGCCAAACCCCTCTGCCTGTAATTTGTAAACCCCTGTGTATTTTCAGGGAAATGTAGTCCATATGTTTCTGATTGATTTACACTTAACTCATCTAAACGTTGTTTTGCTAGTGTTATTTGATGTCCAAAGGGCCTCAGAGCCTGTTTACGTCTGTCTAAGCCGCTTTCTTCCCCCCTGAGACTTGGGAAGATCTGTTTTGCCAAGAGTAAATTAAGTTGAACACTGCACTGCCCCTCCCCACCCCTCACCCCGTTGTTTGGATCAGACTTGGGTTGAATATGAAACGAAGATCTGAGGAAGTTGCACGGGCCTTTGAAGTTGACCAAACACTCTACGCCACCGCGCTTCACCAAGAGGGATCAGAGCCCAAACCCTCCCTTTTTGGGACTGGGAACAGTGACACCAGCACAGAAACCAGCCCCCCGGGCCCCGCCGACATCCCAGCCTGGCCTCGTCCCTGATGGCACTGGCACTCAGCTGCAACCAGCCGACCGCCCCACCTCGATGTCCCCTTCCATTAGGACAAAGTTCACCCAAGCTTTGTCGGAGAAGTACAGGGACTAAAAGCTATCAGCCTGCTAGATCTGTGATAACAGTCATGTAGAGCAAGATTATGGTTTTAAAACAAAACAAACAAAATTCCTCAGCTAGCGCCCCACATCACTGAACCTTAATTTGAGACAGTCTACATTTGCCTTGCAAATGAATCCAAAAATTACCAAGCCACAAACACTGAAAACCATCCTACCCACTGCCAGAAGGAGCGGGCCGGGTGGAAGGAACAAGGCCAGCCCCCTCCGATCCGCTGCACGGCAAGCGGGAGAAGGGTGTTGCTGGAACTTAGATGGCACCCCATAATTTTGGAAACATGATCACTAGACACGGAGGCACACTCATGACAATTTTGTGATTCATTGCTGAGGGGAATGGTGCCTTATTTGGAGGAAGTACCTTAATGGGCATTTGGTCATGTTTAAGTAAAGCTACTTGGAATGGAAATATCTGAGACAGAGGAGGAGGTGGCTCTGTAAAATAACGTGACAGGTTGTCTTCTCCGTATGCAGTGATAGCTCTGAGGTTATTGCACTGACTCAGAGGCCCAGCCTGAGATGTTTCTATCTCTTTTTGGACCCTAAAAGTACTAGGCAACCTAGGTTCTAGTAAAGGGGACACAGTCAAGGCATTTAATCGGGGGAAAGTAGGCCGGCCCCTGAAATGCAGGGCAAACCGTGGGCTACAGACAAAGACAGCTCAGACTCCCTATCTCCAGGGTTTCGGCTTTTTGTTTCTATTGCGTAATTCTCTTTTGCTATCTTTAAGCTTTCCGGAAATCTTGATCAATATCACAGGTTGGTCTGACTATGTCCTCGGGAAATAGGAGAAGGGCCTGCCTCTAGGCTATGGGTGAGCCAGCAACCTGTGGGGGAGCCAGAGGAGACTTAGAGGGAGTGGAGGATGGTCCAGGGCAAGGTGGCAAGCGACACACAGGCCGGACCTCTGGAACATGGACGCTTTCCTCGGGGACTCTCCGAGGCATTGGGGTGGGAAGGACATGCTGAAGATGCAGCTTCCTGGCGTAGATGCTGAGTTAAGGGACAGGTTCCGCACTGAGGGCTGCGCAACCTGGGGACACCAGCGGCACATCAGTGTTAACTCTGGTAATGGTCAAATGGCAACGCTTACTAGTCTCATCTAAACTGAGCACTGGTGGTGCTGTCACCAGGTCCTTCATGCTGCGGCCTATGCAGGAGGACAAGCAAGTTGCTGTCCCATGGCCACGTGAGCAGATGGCTTCTCCTGCCTCCTTGAGCTCAGGTGGCTGAGCCGAGCACTGCTGATCTCCTTTCAGTGAGGACTCGGTCCACTCTGAAGTCAGACTATTCAGACTATGGCTTAGAAGGCCAGGTAACCAGATGTACCACCGCCTGCACCATCTAGGTACCTTCAGGGACTCTACTTAGCACTCTTTCTCTAAAGTGCTTTCCATCCCAGTATGGGCCAGCCCCTCTGACCTGGGAGTGTGGGGAGTTTGGGGGTGAGATTGGGGTTTCAGTCTGGGATTGGAGGTGAGGGGCATAACCTGAATGAGGAAAGGCCCAGGCTTTGTATTTAAAGCTAATACTACCTAGCTGGGATGTGAGCTATTTTTCCTGGAGTCATTTGTCTGCATGGGAAAGTTGTTGATAGCCCTGAGGAGTCCATTTCTTTTTGGTCGTCCTGGGCTGTCCTCACAAACCTGAACCCGTGATGGTTGAGGTCTTCAGGCTTCTCCTTTACGACCTTTATACCTTCAAACCTGTTGTTACACCGTATCTAACTTCACGGACGTAACTGCAAGAAGAACTGGTCCATGGGGGCTATGAGGGTGGAGGATGGTAGCTGCACTCAGGGGACCCCCAAGCCCATTGCTGCCGCTGTCCAGGGCGTGGCTTTGGGCCACTGCACCTCTCTGAGACTCTGTCTCCTTCTCTGTAAATGGGGACTATGGTCCCCTTCCTTCTGTCTTGTTTTCAGATGAAGGGGGAAAACCACACAATTAATAACATGTTATTATTAGGTTGGCCAAAAAGTCCATATGGTTTTTTCCATAAAAGACACATTTTTCATTTTTACCAGTAACCTTATTGATTTGGGTATTTTGAGTATGTAGGCTATCTCCCACGTGGTACAACATGGATTGTTCTCAGTTAGTGTCTCGATTTGATCACAATCAGTTTCAACTCATCTACCCAACCGTGGAGCATCAGCCAGAGAGAAATCTCCAGCATGAAACTTCACAAACCACTTTTGACACATTCGATCAGTCATAGCACCTTCTCCATACACTGCACAAATTTTTTTTTTTGCATTTCAGTTGTGTTTTTTACCTTTCTTCAAATAATAAAGCATAATATGCCAAAAAATGTTGCATATATTCTTCTATCTTCAATATTAAAATGGCTACACAAAAATTCACCAACTTTGATAACTTTTTTTAAAATACATGCTGATATGACAGCTGTCACAATACAATCTAACAAAATTCTTTTGAATGAAGTTAAAGACAACTAAGTGCAACTAGGGCCATTGTGCAGAAAAAAACAAATGAATATTTGGCCAACCCAACACAATAATTATTGTTGGCAACAACAGATTTTATCAAACACTGTTGTCTGAATCCATGGATGGATAGTGCCCAAGCTCTTCATTATCAACTTATCCTTCCTTTCTTAGGGGGTTGACTGTGGAGAGAGGGGTGGGCTAGGTGGGAGGCGGGGGCAAAGGGAAAAAAATGGGAACAACTGGAATAGAATAAACAATAAAAAAAAGTAGAAAAAACCCTTTTATCCTTCCTCTCTTGACTTAATTTTGTTGTTGTTGTTGTTCAGTTTTTATTTTATAATCATAAACTTAACTCTGCAATCCAGTTAGTTTTGGAAGGAGTGAGGAAAATAGAGAACCTGATGAACTACTGCAAGAGCAGGAATATTATACAACATTCCAAGCAGATGAGGGTGAAGGGGTGCTCTCCTGAGCTACGGAAGGAATTGTCTTGTGGTCGAGATAGAACACAAGTCAAATTTATTAGAGTTGTCCACAGTCAGTCATGGTGATCTTCTCGCTGGTCTTGCCATTCCTGGACCCATAGTGCTCCTGGACCATGCTGTCTGTCACCTGGCTGAGGACCACATGCTTGCCATCCAGCCTCTCAGTCTTGGCAGCGCAGATGAAAAACTGGGGACTTTTTGTGTTGGATCCAGCATTTGCCATGGACAAGATGCTGGGACCCATATGCTTCAGGATGAAGTTCTCATTGTCAAATTTCTCCCCATAGATGGACTTGTTGCCTCTGTCATTATGGCCTGCAAAGTCAACTCCTTGGCACATAAATCTCGGAATAATTCTGTGAAAGCAGGAACATTTATAACCAAGTCCTTTTTCCCAAATGCTCAAAGCCTGAAAGTTTTCTGCTGCTTTTGTATCTTTGACTGAAAACAGTTCGAAGGAGATGTGGCCCGAGGGCTTGCCCTTGGCAGCGAAGTCAAAGGACACAGTGGGATGACCTTGGCGAGGAGCTGCGCGGCAGCAGTGCCTGCAAGTCCCCGTGACCTAATTTTTAAAAATCTCAGAGAGTTAGTGCTGACCCTTGAAAGATCACCTGGAACACTGGTTCCCAAACCAGGCTGCACATTTGAGTCACCTACGGTGCTTTAAAAGCCATTTATCCTAGATGCCAAGGAATCTGCATTTTTAAGTTGTTTTCTTAGTGGTTTGGTTTTGTCCATGGATGGGGATTTGAGTTAGGCCTTGTCTAGCCCTGTTCTCTGCCACTAGGCAAAAACTCCGTTCTGCTATTCCAGGCAGGTGGGAACCTGTCTGTGTTCCAGACTTGAACAAACAGGGCACCACACTGCCCCCACCTCCCCTGGGAGCCCTTCCAGTGTCTGATATCCTTTCATGGTTCTGTTTTTCCCATTGCATTCTCTGCTTGTTTCTCCTAAGATCTTGAATAGCTTGTGATTACCACCCAGCCAATTTCTTTGTCTCCCATCTGGTTACTATCTCTGTCTTCCCCTTTGGGAGGCGGGTTCAGTCATTTGTTTCTCCTTGTTATTCTCTGAGGCTAGAGTTTTGCTAGATTCTCACCCCAGCTCTTCAATCCTTCCCCACACTTTCTCCTGTCTGGAGTTTGAGTTTATTTTTCTTCCTGCCTAACTACTTCTAATATACTAAGTCAATAAACAGATTCTCTGTGGTTACATATGGCAAATGGCTGAAATTTACAGTTGAGAGTAAAATTTCCTCATTTGGGGAAAAAAAAATCATTTCATAGATTTAGAAAGTGGTCATTCTGATCTCCAGGGCAAATAAAAGTGTTTTATAACCTTCCACAAAAGCTTATGCCTTGATTAAATTTTTATTATGAATTATTAATTAAACCAAGGAAACACAGAGGCCTAAACCTTTGCTTAAATTTGCTCCAGATTGAGACGCAAACCAAACGCAGCAAGAAACCCTGAAGGGGAGGTTTAATGATGAGTAACACATATAAAACTATCTGAGCACTTTCATCTGCCAAAGGCTCCAAACCAGCCATGTAAATTAGCCCATGTGCCCAGGCCTGACCAGAGCGAGGCCCACAAAGAGCCTGGAAGAAAGAGGAGCTCCTCAGCCGTGCTCTTCTGGAATATGGGTTTGAGTTTCGTGGGACATTGTGAGTTTGGAGACACACAGGCTACTCACTTGATGTGAGGCTGTGGTTAAGTGGAGAGTGGTAGGAAGCAAAGTAGAGAAGAAGCCTACAGTCTTGGAAACTGAGGCAGAGGTCAGGAGATGGGTCATTATGTTCATTACTGAGTCATTGGCTCAAATAGGACCACCAAATTCAGTGGTGCAGGTTGCCTGGTGATAGGGGCAGGTGAGTACAGAAAACAGCTCATGTGCTCCTTGCCAAGCCTTGCTCCTAGCTGTAGAGATGTGTCCACCAGGAGGCTGGGCATCTTTTTCTGATTTCAACAAGGGAGTCATATGCTGGTCAAGACTTACTTGCAGGCTGAAAGTATATGAATGGGGTGGGTGGGAGGGATGGGTCTACATTCTTCTGAGAGGGGCATCGTTCTTTAGAACACAGAGAGGTGTTGTTTGGGCAAGTGGTGGCCTAGTTCATCCAGTAGATGCGGGGGATGCAAAGAGCTCACAGTAACTTGGGGAAGCTGACAAATAAGCAAAGTACTACAACACGGTGGTAACAAATGACATACAAGACACCTATGCATCTGGGTGCGCACCCAGATGCAACTGGACAGGAGAGTAGCAGGGAAGCTTTCTTGAGGATGACGTCTAAGTAAATCTTGAAAAGTGGAAGGGTGTTTGGAATGAGGGTATGGAGGCTGGGAAGGTGCTGGAGGCAAAGGGAAGTACATGGTCAAAATGATGGAGGATGAAGAGGGGTCTATCGAACTAGAAGAAAGAGATGCTCCCAAATAAGACGTGGAGATTCTTTGGGGGCTCCCCACCATATGTGGTTGCGGTTCAAGACATTTTCAAATATCAGCATTTATTCAAATAGGAAAGAAGAGTTGATGTCCATTCCCTTTTCCCACTGGCCAGAACAGGAGGGTCTGGGTGGAACGCCGAATTCCCAACACAGTGCTTGGCACTTGACACACTCCAAGGCTAGTTTTGTCCCCTTCTCCACTTCTTCCTCTCCAACCCTTTAAAATATGAAGACGGAGATAAAAGGCACACATCTGTGTGTCTTTTAAAACATTCGAAAAGAAACTGACAAAAATGTGAAGTGAAAGGTAATGACTTGGCTCTTTGGCAATGGGCAGCTCCCCATGATTTCGTGTCCCCACGTTTGAGTTGGCTTCTAAGAAGATATTGATATTGGCTCCCCAGCTTATTCAGTCCAGAGGAGGAGAGGAAAGGAGAGTTCTTTGACTGCCCATTAAGCAAAAGTTGTCTTATCTGATTATCTTTAGGGACTCATAACCTGTCTCTGTGACTATCCAGGCTTCCGGTCATGCCTAGAGAAGATTCCGCATGGAGACAATGTGGCTTTTATTGGGCTCTTATTTATATTGAATTCTCGTGCTCATGGAAAATGACATGTTGACAACACTGCTTCCTAGCATGACATCAAGTAGGTTTGAAAACACTGCTTAATAAGAGCCCTGTAAAGATAAGAGAAGTGATAGGAAGAATTGAAAGACGCTGCTTCCCACTGAACATCGGCCATGAATCACCGTGCAGAGCGAAGGCGCAGAACTGAAGCACTGGGGTAGCAGGCTGGCCCCGGGGTCAGGAGAGGGGCTGTGCTAAGGACATGCCTCAGCTTCCTCCCTGCCCTTCGGTCTGAGGCTGGGCAGAGAGGGAAGTGGAGAGCTGTGTGGCTGGTCTGAAGGGTGGGGTGGAAGGGTTAGTCTGTGCGGGGATCTAGTTTTATAATCTACTGTCCTGAATAAATCCATCAGAACCTCACATTCATTCAATTAACCAGCACCTATAAATGCTCTTTGTGAGGCCAGAACTGCAGAGGCGCCGGGAGGAAGCAGACCATTCTGTCCCCACCACAGAACTTCCCCAGCCTCCCAGGACTTCTCTTTCCAGAAAAAGACGGTCCTCTTTCCTTGTCTCCTTCTACAACCAGAGGAAAAATAAAGTGCAAGATTCCTAGTTTACCTTGAGTTTCTGAGGGAGAGAAGGCCCTTGGAAAAAAAGCACTTTATTCCTTTCTTTTAAAAGTCATTTTTTTCTGGAATACAGCTCACGGTGGGTTCCAAAGGGCTCCTGAAGTTGTTTTGTTTTTTTAAAGAGACCGGGGCTTCAGGGCAGCCAGAGGAGACTTTTGGTGGCTGCCTTCCTAGAGGGAACCCCTGTTCCAGGGCTGGGGCGTGAGGGAGGCGGTGCAGCCGAGGGGAAGTTTGGCTCAGCATCTGACCCTATGTGATCTTGTTTGAGGAAGACTCCTACCATCCCTCAACAGAATGTTGTAAAAGCTGAAGAGCCTGCTGATGGCAGGAGGAAAATGGCTTCTTGATAGCAGATGAAAAATAAGTGTGTCTCCAAACTAGAGACAGTGCTCAGAGGCCCTCCCAGCAGGGCTGCATATGAGGCAATGATTTCCCAGTACTTGTCAGCCGCCTGGGAGAGCCAGGCAGTGGCATGCCTGGGGAGCGTGATCAGTGTAGGCTGGGGAGGCAACTGAGGAAGAGCGTAAGTGAGGAGATGGTAGCCTGAAGGGTAACAGCTGGTTTGATTCAGGTCCATGACAGGCTCAGTTCGGTCTCAGGGATTATTTAGCATCAAGCACTGAGTTTAGAGTTGAGGGAACTGAGGTCCTGAGAAGTTTTAACTTGCCTTTGGTCATGCCGGGAGCCTGTGGCCCAGCAGGATCTAACATCTGCTCAGTAGTTCCTGGTGTTATCTTTGCTGGGGATGTTTGAAGCTCTTTGCCACTCCCAGGTAGAGGAAGAGCCCAAGAGGAAAACATTGACTTCAGAGTCAGGAGACCTTGGCTTCGGGGTCTAATTGCCCAGTTCCCATCTTGTCAACAGATTTTCCCAGGCTTTCCAGACACGGGCAGAGTCCCAACCCCTTGCTTTCAAGCTGGTGACCTGTGAGGGTTAGCAGGAAGAGAGGGTTCAAGGCTGATTTGGAGCCCTTTCGTGGGTCTCTCCCTCCTTTCTTTTGGAGGTGGCAGTTACTGGGCAGCATGACCCTTGAGGAGGAGATAAACTGCCTTAGATAGTAGGGGTTTATCTTTGAGGTTATTGCTAATGTGCCTGACTCCTTAATCTAGTTCTGTTCAGATCTGAACTGGTAGCTCGATAAACTGTTGGCTGCTTGATTTCACGTATTTATCAAGTCCCAACAATTATCAGAAGGCAATTATCCTCCGGGAGGCCGGTGGCTCAAGAGATAAGCAGTGCCCTGCCCATCTTATTTCTGCCACTGATCCAAAGGCTGCCACTCCACGCCCTGTGCAGATTTTCTCCTCTTTCCCTACTGTCGTACATTTCAAGAGGTTTGATGTTTCACCACGTCTGTTTCGGTGTTCTTTGGCCCACAACCGAAAGTAAAATCCAATGGTTTTTATAGGTGGGTAAATCCTTTTTAAAGGCCTTTTTGTTATCACCTTGGGGTTTGTGAGCACTAAAAGTCAGTTTTAAGGGACCAGGGAGACCTTGGATCAGAGTTTGCTGTATCTGAAAGGGACCAAGTGACCACTTGGCACAGCCCTTTCATACTGCAGACAAAGAAGCCAAAACACAGAGGGAGTCAATGTCTTGTGAAAGGCATGTGCTTTTTAGAGTTGGGCAGATGTAGATTTGAAGCTTGGCTTTGACTCAGACCTGCTGTCCGACCAGGCATAACCTCCTGGAGCCCCTATTTCCTCCCCTGTCACGTGGAGCTAGTAATCCAGACCTCAGAGCATTGCTGTGAGAGGTAAAACCTGTTCACCCCCAGCCCAGGTCATGCAGATAATTGGGGACAGGGAGTATCCTGGTTCCCAGATCTCTATTCTTTCCATTATACTGTGGAATCTTCTTCCCTGAGACCTTAATTTCTCATTAATTAAAAAGCAAAGATTCTTTTTCCTACTCAAAGTTCTACCCAAAGTTCTAGTTCAGTGTTTCTCAGACATGGCCCCTGCAGATGTTGTGAGGCTCTGTTCTGCTCGGGACTCATGTTTATACGATGATAGCATCTATATTTTTTTCTTGATAAATTAATAATCGACTTGCCATTGTATTTAGGAAAAACCAGACATCACCTCATGGATGTCTCACTGGGAAAGAGTTATTTATCCCACTGATCCTGGTAAATTTTCTATTTGGGTTTGGTGGCAGCAGTAACAGGGGTCTGGGGGACAGGCTACTCAGCCGAGGGGTGTTACTGGTCCACGAAATGACAGTCCCGTTCCCAGGTCCCGGGGCCTGAGTTTGAGGTCCGAGGACTGTTTTCAAGAGATTTCAGCCTGTCCTTGCTCCCTTCGCCAGGGCGTCGTCTGCGCCTCGGACGTTAGGTGGCGCCGCAGGAACATCCTCGCGGCGCCAGGCACGGTCACAGCCCCGGAGCACTCGGCGCGGCGAGGCGGAATTCTCGGCCTTTCGGGCAAAGTCAGGGTTCCCGTGGGCAACCTCTCACCGCCCTGTCCTCCCATCAAAAACACAGCTCCCCTCAGGGGGAAAGGCCTGGTGTCGTCCTATCAGGAGACGGGAGTCATGACCCATTGAGTGCTATGTTTTTTTTCAATTCAGTTTTTTAAACACCAAAGGGCTAATAGTGTTTGTTCCTCATCAGTCGCTGCTCCCGCCCCCTGTGTTATTAACGATTCATCTGCTTTGAGTGGCAGCGTTACAAGGCTTTGGGGGCTCGAGAAATACCTTCCTATTCTTATGTTTTTAAAAGAATGCAGACGCGATACAAATTCGGCTTGCGTGATGGGCGCCCCAGGGTCGGCCTAGAGAATGTGCTGGGGCCTGGGGACCGGGAGGCAGTTGGCGCAGCTGGCGAAGGTCCCCTGGCGATGCTCTGCAGCCAGGTGCGTCCTGGACAGGCTTTTCCTTTGGGCCGGCCCTGCCAGCGCCCCCTGGAGGTGGGCCGGGGAGTCGGCACCGGGCGCGTCCACACGCAGCGCAGGTCCGCCTCCACTTTTCTGTGGATCCCTCAGAGATTCCCACTTGCTTTTCAAGTCGCAAGAAAGTTTCCCCACTTCAAAGTCTATTGCTGTTTTCTCGGGTCCCCGTCTGTGTCACCATTTATACCTCGCTCATCCCCGCTGCCCCATCCAGACAAATATCTTTTCGGCTCCACGGGGTGCTGGGTTCCCTGCTCCCCTGCCCTCCATCAGTTCGAGACTCCTTTCTCAGAGGGAGGAGAACTCTCTGGTCTTGACCCCACAGGCACTGGTTTAGGCCGGGCCCGAGGCTTCCCCTCCACTTCCCGATTTTGGAGAATCAGGAATTTAGCGAAATTTGGTCTCTTTTTTTCTTTCTTAGTGCTGAAAGCACATGTAAGGTATTCTTTTCCTGTTTACTAGGGTGGTCAGATCTGGAAGTGATTTGAGAATAAGGGCAGTTTCTCTTTCTGCCCCAGAAGTTTACAACGTCCTAGTTCAGACCTGGGAAGTTGACGGAAATTTCAACTGCATTAGCTTCAGCTGTGAGGCCAAAGAGCCTCTAGGCAGAGCGTCAAGAGCTGGCCGAAGGAAAAGAGGGAGGGAAGCCTAAGAGGGGTTGCAGGAACCAAAGGCTCCATGTTTGCAGGCCTTGTGGTGTCTGAGAACTCTGGGACAGGAGGTAAGCTGCTTAACTTCTTGAGCCTCAGTCTCCTGTTCTGTACAGTGGGAATACTGTTGCTACCTCACAAAGGTGTGGTGAGGATTATGAACTACTGTATGTGAGTGTCCTTCCTGGCAAGTAACAGAGGCTAATATATGAGAGCTGTTAGCAGGGATCCAGTCAGAGCCACTGCTCTAGTTTTGCACCAAACTGATTTTACAGACAGCCAAAGTGCCTGCTTTTTCTGTGTGTGGGAGTAGGAGAAACTTTCCCTGAATTATTAGTGTTTTCCTTTGTTCTACAGGCTATGATGTCCTCTCCTGTCCTCCACAGAAAGGAAGGGAGACCGGATTATTCTCTTCTCTTAGGGTTCTTGGGGAAGAATTCATAATGTAGTCAAGCCACTGGGGATAAATATTGTAGGGTCCCGGGATGGGGGAGGGGGATATGTCAGGTTCCTCACGTTTCCCTTGGGGATTCCACACAGGCCCCTTCCTTTCAAGAAATATTTTGGGACACCAGACATTGCTGTACCATCTTTTTGGAATGGACCTGTGAGTAGCAGCAAGCCCATCTCTTTGCTTTTGGTGAAAATCGGTAAGCATTTGTAAAGATTTCACAATCTGACACTGTGTAAACCACCTCTTTGTCTAAAAATCAAACCAAGCATCCTTTGCCTTTAAAAATATCTTGCCGCCAAAAATATAAAGAAAAGTCCTACTTAAATTCCTGGTTTTGTCCTGCAGAGATGCTCCATCTTTTTTTAGAGAATGACTATCCTCTTTTTTTTATTCCTTCCCTTTTTTTTTTTGAGATATAATTGACATATAACTGTATTAGCTGAAGGTGTACTACCCTTGTTTTAAGAGTTTAAAATATTAGCACAGTCAACACCTCACATCTGAGTAATGCTGTCTGTGTTTTTATCTTATTGATATCACGGGGTTGACAAGCACATATCTTCTACCCTGTAGATGAGGAAACTGGGACACTGGTCTGCGGTGTTCTGGGCCTGGGAACAGCACACCCGTGTGCTCCAGGGAGCTCTGAAGGTCTCACCAGCCCTGTTGTTGTCATTCCATGGGCAGAGCAAATAGACTTGGATTCCTGCTGTGATCCTTTCTGAAACCAACCTTCTGCCAGCTCAGGACCCTGAACACCACCACAGCCCTGAGACTCTCTGCGACGGTGAGCAGGAGAGCCCTGGATGTGCTGTTCTTGCCTCAGTGCCCCTGACTCTGTGGTCTTTGGCCCATGGCAGAGAACTGAGCTCGTTTGTTAATAAATACTATGAATATGACTCATATACCAAGCCATCCGCTAATGCAAATGACTCAAATTATTAATGCTCTGCGAAAGAGGCTCCTTTGCTTGCCAGCAGACTTAAAATAGTAATTCATTAATACTGGTTTAATTATTTTTAAAAGATGGCCTAATTAAAACCTATACATTCCGTATGTGTTTATATGCAGAACTGTGTATATATAATGGGTGTGTGTGTTTGTGTGTATATATATTTAGCGTGGTACACATTGTTGGAAAAAATACCCAGGAGCCAGCCCCCTTTCTGTTGCTGGATTCAAAGTAGAGACCACCCCATGAGGGTGTGGCATTGGTGGCTTCTCAGTGACCGCACTTTGGAAGTCCCAGCTGCACAGAGCCCTGCCCCGGGGTCAGGAGCCAGCAGCCTTGGGAGAGGCAGATTCTGATCTTTGCTCTCCTATTGGGACATCCCTTTCCCTTCCCAAAAGTGTTGAGATGCTTGAGCAGGGGATGTTGGGGGAAAGTGTCTTTGGCAAAAGAGACGTGGACGTGGTTTTTTGTTTCTGGAGCTGGCTGTCTAGCTTTCCTAATGAGCAAATGTGTTCTCTTTAAGGAAACAAACAAAGCAAAACACCAATTCATCTGGATTTTATTCATTTGTTTTAAATACAAACAAACAAAAGGAGTCGGGAGAAGTGGTTATTTCTGCACCAACTACTT